GTACCAGAGGCAATTTCTGGCATGTACTGATTGCTCCCAGAATGCAGTGCTGATTAGTATGGTTTGCTGGTCATACCCTGTCAGGCAACAGAAATGACATTGGGCAGACGCGTGTCACGCGTGTAATCCCAACCACTTTGGGGGGCTGAAGCGTGGGATGGAATCACTTGAGACCAGGAGTTCAAGACCAGGCCCCAGACATGGTGGGGACCTGTCTCTAAAAGATTACAAAAAGTTAGCGGGGGCAGTGGACACGGCCTGTAGTCCCAGCTACTTGGGAGGCTGAGGTGGGAGGATTGCTTAAACCCAGGAGGTGGAGGTTGCGATGAGCCGAGATTGTGCCACTGCACTCCAGCCTAGGCGACAGAACAAGACTCTCTCAAAAAAAAAAAAAAAAAAAAAAAAAAAGAACTAGAGTGCAGGCTTGAGAACTTCTCTCTAGAGGCTAAAACTTCTTTTTGTTATCCTTTATAATTTTTACTCTGGCTTTTACTCTGTCCTTGAGATTTTACTTAAGTACTTTCTCCTAAAGATAGAAAGGAGTCTTGAAACTCATGTCTTTTTCAGTAACATTTGGCTGAGGAGTCTAAACTGATTCTGAGTGATTTTTCCCTCCAGGAAGAAAAGGCCAAAGCATACAAGAAAGAAAAACAGAAGGAGAAGAAAAGGAGGGCTGAGGAGGACTTGACATTTGAGGAGGACGATGAGATGGCAGCTGTGATGGGCTTCTCTGGCTTTGGTTCCACCAAGAAGAGTTACTGAGGCTTTCTATGCTTGGCCTAACTTGGGCCTATGCTGGACCTAACTTTGTGTATGTGTGTGTGTAGTCGGGGGTCATTTCTTTTTGGGTGATGGGAAAGTTCTTAAGAGTATCAATGGGGAGGGATAGAGGGTGGGGCTCATGGTTTCCCTCTACTTTGGGAGAGGGCACAGATTGCAGAGGTAATGCTGTGGCATATTGCTTCAGCCTCAGTATATCGCTGGAGTCATAGGACCCCTGCCCACCTGAGTTTCCAATAAAGAAAAACCTCCCCTTCTGAGGCTGCTTTCCCAAAACTCCCCCTGCATCTTTATCTCTCCATCTATCCAGCCTCTTGTCTGAGCATCCCACCTTTATCCTGTGTTATGCCTTTGTTTTAATTTTAACTCATGTTCAGCCTGCAACAGAAGCATTCTCTAGGTCCCAGTTTCCAGTTGATTGCATATCCTTGACCAGCCCTTTTTCCCATCCCGCCCTATGGTTCTCTAGCTACCTGTGCATGCATGTGTATTTCTGCCTGGTTCTATGGTGTGTGGATGTGTGTGCATGAATCTGTCACATAGAGGGGGCCTGAGCTGGAATCCTAGAGCATTGCTGCCCTGGGGCCTGATGTTCTTGGCTTCCTCAGAGCATGTAACAGGAAATTAAATGGGATGAGTGTTTGGTGTGGTTTGTGTCTGATGAGTTTTTTAACATTCAGGTGTAGATTGTTTCAGGTTCTCGTTTCATTTTCCTGAGGATTTCTGTTTTTGTCTTCCTTGTGAGCAGGCTTTTGGAAGAACCTGTTTGATGCAAAGAAGAAAATGAAAAACAAAACAAAACAAAAAATCCCCAAAACCTTATTATGGGAGCCCTTGGGTCTTAGAAGCTGTTCAACATGTATAATAAATGGCATTGACTGGGCCTGTTTTACATTTGGTGGGAACATTCCATAATTTTGCCTGTGAATATTTGTTTTTCCTTCTCATGCTGAGGATTTCCATAGAGTGTTTTATTCTTCCATTTTAAATCTTATTTTTGCCTAGGATTTTTTTTTTTTTTTTTTTTTAGCATGAGTTATGTTTTCCTCTGGTAAGGGATCTGTGTCCAGAGGAGCCTGAACCAAAACTATTCCTATCATTTCAGACTCCTTTGATCTTTTGTTTTTGGAACAGTAGAGCTCAGGATTGAACTTAGTGTTTTTCTTTTTCTTTTTCTTTTTTTTTTTTTTTTTTGAGAGAATCTTGCTCTATCGCCCAGTCTGGGGTGCAGTGGCACGGTCTTGGCTCACTGCAACCTCCGCCTCTTGGCTTCAAGCGGCTAATTTTGTATTTTTAGTTGAGATGGGGTTTCACCATGTTGGCTAGGCTGGTCTGGAACTCCTGACCTCAGGTGATCCACCTGCCTCAGCCTCCCAAAGTGCTGGGATTATAGGCGTGAGCCATTGCACCCTGCCCTTAGTGTGTTTCTTACTGTCTGCTAGACACAGGATTACTTAATCTTGGCACTGTTGATATTTTGGGCCAGATTATCATTTGTTCTAGAAACCAATGCTGTGCAGTGTAGGGTGTTTATGATTTTGATTTTGATTTAGGATTAACTTCATCCCTGGCCTTTACCTGCTAGATGCCAGTAGCACCCTCTTCCACAATTGTGACAACTAAAAATGTCTATGCCCCTGAGAAAGGCAAAATCCCTCCCTACCCACATTGAAATCCACTGAGAAGCAGCTAGCTGTTTTCCCTAGCTTGGTCTAATTTGAGAATTAGATGGCACAGACTGGTAAACTCAGTACAGAAACTCACAAAACTTTGATATCCACTGGATCAAGTACTGTACCAAGTCCAGGGGATGCAGAGGAAAAAAAATAGTCATACATACACGGAGAATTATTAACTTTAACACATTAACTTCAAGCAGATGAAACCTGTAACTCTTGCTGGTTCTTTACCCTGAAAAAATGGATCCGTTGGGTTAACAAGGCTGCCACCATATAGCTGGTATTCATTCTCTGCCCCATCAAGCTCTTCACCTTTCTGTAGTATCTGAACCACAAAGCACCATACACCTCCCTTTGGACTTTTGTACAAAATTCCCTTACTGTAAACATGTGATGCTGAATCTTACCACTGGGAACACCATGAATGTATCTTCACCTGTGGGCTCAAGGCCTGGCTCAAAGTTTTAGATACAGTAAGTATTGGGCAATGGGGGCAGATTGGTGGGTGCTTTTCTTGGCAGGATTATATGCACTTCAGGTCCCTTGGGTGACAGTCTTCTTGTTGACTAGGTCTTTTGTTACCCCTTTCAAGGCAGGCTGGAGGTTTCAGTGAGTTCCTTCCATGGTTCAGTGTTTTTTTTTTTTTTTTGAGTGTCACTGTCACTCAGGCTAGAGTGCAGTGGCATGATCTCAGCTCGCTGTAACCTCCACCTCCTGGGTTCAAGTGATTCTCCTGACTCAGCATCCTGAATAGCTGGGATTACAGGTGCCCGCCAGTATCCTCGGCTAATTTTTTTGTATTTTTAGTAGAGACGGGTTTTCACCATGTTAGCCAGGATGGTCTTGATCTCCTGACCTCGTGATCTGCCCGCCTCGGCCTCCCAAAGTGCTGGGATTACAGGTATGAGCTACCGTGCCCGGCCTCTTTCAGGTCTTTCTAAAACCAATGGAAATGTTTGCATTCTGGTTGAGGAAAATCCACTTGACCAGTGCTTAGGTGAACATGCTGTAGGTACTGGTATTATCTTCTGGGGCAATGCATCAAAGTCCCAGATGTCATGGAATTTACATTCTGGTGGAATTGCCCTTCTGAGTACCTGGGGAACAAAAGATGATCCTTATTACTAAAGATGATCCTGTGGCTTCAGGCATCCTCAAGGCTTCTGGTATTTCCCCCATAACTTTCTCCAAATACGTGTGCAGATTCTTTAATCCAGCATATATTCTAACAACATACTTGTGTATGTGCACATATATGTACCAAGATGTGTATTACTGCAGCTTTATGATAATGAAACTTAAAACTAGTACATTTATACTTGAATATAATGCAGCTGTTTACAATGCAAGGGAATTAGGTTTATATGCAGTGACCGGAAGGATCTCCAAGACATGCTGTTAAGTAAACAATATCCAACAACTGGATTCCCAGCAAGCCAAGAAAAACTATGTTTTGTGTACAGTTAAATATACAGATTGAGGAAAAGGACTAGAAGGATACACATTGAAATATAAACAGTGGTTAATTGGAGAAAAGTAGAAATTTGGGGAAGAAAGGTTAGTTGTTTACAGTGTACATAAAAGGAACAGATGTTCCTGTGGTATTAAAAATGGAAATATTTTTAGGCCAGGCATGGAGGCTCACACGGGTAATCCTAGCTCTTTGGGTGGCCGAGGTAGAAGGATCTCTTGAGGCCAGTTCCAGGTCAACTTGGGCAGCATAGCAAGATCCTGGCTCTACAGAAAATAAAAAAGGCGGGCACGGTGGCTCACACCTGTAATCCCAGCCCCTTGGGAGGCCGAGGGGAGCGGATCACTTGAGGTCAGGAGTTCAAGACCAGTCTGGCCAATTTGGTGAAATCTCATCTCTACTAAAAAATACAAAAATTAGCAGGGTGTGGTGTGCATGCCTGTAGTCCCTGCTACTTGGGAGGCTGAGACACCACAATCGCCTGAACCCTGGAGGCGGAGGCTGCAGCGAGCCGAGGTAGTGCCACTGCAATCCAGCCTGAGCAACAGAGTGGAGACTCCATCTCAAAACAGAAAAAGGAAAAAAAAAATTGGCCAGGTGCGGTGGCTCACGTCTGTTATCCCAGCACTTTGGGAGACCGAGGCGGGTGGATCATGAGGTCAAGAGACGGAGAGTATCCTGGCCAACATGGTGAAACCCCGTTTCTACTAAACATACAAAAATTAGCTGGGCGTGGTGGTGCGCGCCTATAGTCCCAGCTACTCGGGAGGCTGAGGCAGGAGAATCGCTTGAACCCGGGAGGCGGAGGTTGCAGTAATCGGAGATCGTGCCGCTGCTCTCCAGCCTGGCGACAGAGCAAGACTCCGTCTCAAAAGGTATGTGCACATATATGTACCAAGATGTGTATTACTGCAGCTTTATGATAATGAAACTTAAAACTAGTACATTTATACTTGAATATAATGCAGCTGTTTACAATGCAAGGGAATTAGGTTTATATGCAGTGACCGGAAGGATCTCCAAGACATGCTGTTAAGTAAACAATATCCAACAACTGGATTCCCAGCAAGCCAAGAAAAACTATGTTTTGTGTACAGTTAAATATACAGATTGAGGAAAAGGACTAGAAGGATACACATTGAAATATAAACAGTGGTTAATTGGAGAAAAGTAGAAATTTGGGGAAGAAAGGTTAGTTGTTTACAGTGTACATAAAAGGAACAGATGTTCCTGTGGTATTAAAAATGGAAATATTTTTAGGCCAGGCATGGAGGCTCACACGGGTAATCCTAGCTCTTTGGGTGGCCGAGGTAGAAGGATCTCTTGAGGCCAGTTCCAGGTCAACTTGGGCAGCATAGCAAGATCCTGGCTCTACAGAAAATAAAAAAGGCGGGCACGGTGGCTCACACCTGTAATCCCAGCCCCTTGGGAGGCCGAGGGGAGCGGATCACTTGAGGTCAGGAGTTCAAGACCAGTCTGGCCAATTTGGTGAAATCTCATCTCTACTAAAAAATACAAAAATTAGCAGGGTGTGGTGTGCATGCCTGTAGTCCCTGCTACTTGGGAGGCTGAGACACCACAATCGCCTGAACCCTGGAGGCGGAGGCTGCAGCGAGCCGAGGTAGTGCCACTGCAATCCAGCCTGAGCAACAGAGTGGAGACTCCATCTCAAAACAGAAAAAGGAAAAAAAAAATTGGCCAGGTGCGGTGGCTCACGTCTGTTATCCCAGCACTTTGGGAGACCGAGGCGGGTGGATCATGAGGTCAAGAGACGGAGAGTATCCTGGCCAACATGGTGAAACCCCGTTTCTACTAAACATACAAAAATTAGCTGGGCGTGGTGGTGCGCGCCTATAGTCCCAGCTACTCGGGAGGCTGAGGCAGGAGAATCGCTTGAACCCGGGAGGCGGAGGTTGCAGTAATCGGAGATC